GAACTATCTCGGAGGCGTTGGTTGTTGCCTTTCGTTATTCACTGAGAAAGTGGACACGCATGTATCCCAAATAGAACACAACCGTCAACTTAACACTCTAGCAACAGTTCAACGCACAGGAAGCGAGAGATCGATATAGAATGCAGCTGCAAAGACGAAAATTGTCAAGGCCATTCGTGCCGGATTAAACGAGCTTCGTACCACTGATCGTAAGGTAGATTGCTCGTGTATGTACTTGGTCATTTTAACATCATCTGTATGCCCAAGTTTAAAGCATTTAGGCCTTGAAGAACCCACGTCGGCGTGCTTGCCTCGAACTCAATGTCATGCGATGCTCGCTTGCACTTGAATTGCAGCAGACTGAAATAACTGAAACATCTTTTGCGTTGTACCCACAGTTCATTTTGATGAGCTTCCTACTTTTCTGAAGCGAGGTTGGATTGACAGAAGACGCTTGCCAGGTCCTTGATTTTCAAGAAACCGCGCCTGAAGACCGACAAAACATAAGGGCCCATGCACGTTCACTTGCGGAGGGCTCTCTTTGCACTACCCATTTATGGCCGATGCGTCGATGGGGGCGCTGGTGGCAGTGTTTCTCGCAGCACCACCTGGGCAGAGTCTGACGTCCATATGATTATGTGCCACGCCGTAGTAGAGGCTCCGGGTTCGTTTTGACCCCGATGGGTTCTTTAACGTGTACCGAAATCTAAGCACAATGGTGCGGGTGTTTTGGCATTTCGCCCTCCATCGAAATGCGACCGCGCCGTGGCAGGGGATCGAGTCCACGTCCTTGCGATTAGCAGCATGACACCTTAACTTCTGGGTTCCACGATTGGCGTGTTTCTAATATAACTAGACAATTCATCAGACGGTATTCAACAATTCCCTGCTAACTGGCCCTGTAGCAGAATATACGTCCGCAACAGCCACGCGGAGGAAGGAAAGGTTACAACAGCACTATAGCACGTGAGAACACCGTAGGACAAGAAGCAGCGGTTAATTGACATGTATGAATGCCCATGCATTATTTGTCGCTTCTTAATTATCTATTTTTCTAGAGCAGCCAATATACGATTGAACTCTTACGACACACAGATGGCATAAATATTGCAAGAGCAAACGCTCTCAAGCTCCACGTGAACAATGATGTGTAATCAGAAAATTACCAGAATTTCTCACTATATCCAACATAACATCAGAAAGGAATCCAACCAGCCAAAATTGTGGCTGCTAAATTTTGCTTTTATTTTTAACTCTATGCATACCTTTTCTTATTGCCACATGCAACATAAGATCTCAGCAACATTTTAATTATTGTGCACACTAATTTCCTCATTATCTTTCAAGTTGTACATGAAATCTGCGTTAATATATATAGGCATATAGGACAATGCCCACTAGCATTTTTATCAAAGTAGTATTGCACAACTATTTCATATATCAGATATATCTTCATGAAATCTGCAACAGAACTTCCACCAAAGCCTCATCGACATTTCAAATTCCACACCCCAGACTCGTCTTAAATGCCTTATTAATATATATCGGGTACCTAATACCATCAGCATATCCAAAAACGCAAACATGGAAGTAACTGAAACAACATTTCAGTACAGTTATAGTATGGAGTGATTAGCAACCTGTGTTACAGTTTCACATAAATGGTGTGGCCACGAGCCGCAATTTCGCAACAAAATTTGGTCACTCTTAGAGACATAAATGGAGAAACCCATCAGTGCACGCTTCCTCGCCCTCCAGCTATTCCAACGACTCGTCGAAGGAGCTTGTGTCAAATTTCACTCACAAATGGCTGTGTAAACAGACGTAGCCAGTTCAATGCAGTGGTATTATGCGAACACAACCAGCATTCAAACAGAGAGTCGAGTTGGGCTTCTTCGCGGAGGACTACATGTGCTGTAGCTTCGTCCCAATAGCTTTCCCTTCATTGCCACTGAAAGTATTCCCAGAGTATAGTATAAGGGACAGACGGACACGTGCATAGACGGATGGAGAGACCGATGCGCAGATGAACGGGCGCACACACGAACGAACAGATTTCAGTCTATGCTCACTATGAACGCTTACAGTATAGACAAACGGACGACGGCGACAATAAACATTGTGCGAGCCTAAGGAGCTTCACTCGTAAAAATTAGAAAAATAAATGTTCAGGGGTCCTTGCCCTATTGGGAAAATGAGGGCAAATGCCTTACCAAATGCTTTTCTGCGCAGATATGCAGAAAAGTTGTCCCATTTTCTAGTTGTCATTTTTCATGCATCGTTATCTTCTGCAGTTCTTCCTAGCGATTGGTTGAGGGCACGTGTCGTACCTGTGCCTAAGAAAGGCGATGCAACACTTTTAACTAACTATCGTCCGATTTAACTAACATACTCTTCGTGCAAGCTGCTTGAACATATCATAGCAAACGAGATTAACAAATTCCTTTCTGATAGAAATATTCTCTCTAACTACCAGCATGGCTTTCGTAAAGGCTTTTCTACGGTTAGCCAACCGACTTCTATCGTTCATAATTTTGCGTCTGTCCTTGACAAATCTGGGCAAATTGATGTAGTTTTTTTAGATTTTAGGAAAGCGTTTGACCTTGTTTCGCACTGTAACCTTATAAAAAAACTCGAAATGATTAACTTGCCAGCATATTTAATTAATTGGATTTCTGCCTACCTCACTAACCGTAAGCAATTTGTTGTTATCGATGATAAGTTTTCGGGTGAACTTTTAGTAACTTCGGGAGTCCCACAGGGCAGCATTTTAGGACCTTTGTTATTTTTAATTTACATTAATGACATCACTGACACAATTACAGAGCCCGTTCAAGTCAGATTATTCGCCGATGATTGTGTGGTGTTCAATGAAATAACTTGCAGTGACGACCAAGCTGCACTTAATTCTAACCTTCAAAATATCGTATCTTGGTGTGGAAAATGGAATATGGAATTAAATGCAGAAAAGTCTGTCTATATGAAAATCACCAAAAAGGTTAAAAAGTTATCCTTTCCATATAATATCGCTTCCAAAGCCCTAATTGAAGTTAATCAATATAAGTACTTAGGTGTTACTATTACTAACAATTTATCCTGGAATACGCATATCTCTAACATCTGCAAGTCGTCTTTCCGTAAGCTCTGCTTTTTGAAGTATAAATTAAAACAGGCTCCCCACAACACTCGTCTAACAGCTTATTACTCGCTAATCCGTCCAAAATTAGAATATGCATGTACTGTGTGGGACCCTTACACTAAACGTACCACAGACGCATCAGAAATGATACAACGCAAAGCAATAAGATTCATTTTCTCCAAATACGGTTCAACTGATTCCCCATCAACGCTAATGCTAACTAATAGCATTCCAACATTACAACTACGGCGTAAAATTCTCAGACTAAAAATTATGTTCTTGCTGAAAAATAACCGTTTATCCCTTAACCCGCAGCCTTTCATAACTCCGCTCGAAGCACGCCGGACTAGGCATCGCCACGCTGAATCCCTAACACCTCATAGCACTAAAACTAACGTATTTAAGTATTCATTTTTTCCGCATACAATATCAGACTGGAACAACTTGCCTTGTGAACAGCTGTCCAATATTGACGCTATTGCTCAGTTAAGATGTTAAGTTTTTTATGCTTTGTATATGCCTTGTGTATGCCTTTTTGTTCTTGCCTTGTATTTGCTTTACATATGCTTAGTTTTTATGCCAACTTTTGTATTGTTTCTTTTCCCGTTCCATACTTACAATGTTGTTTCCCTCTGGCTATTATAATTTGTACTTCCCATGCCCCTCCTGCTTGGGCCCTTACCTGGGCCTGCAGTATGTCATAAATAAAATAAAAATAAGTGAAGCTTGACAACTGCTTGTCTGATGTGCGTCATTTTTTTCTTTCTTTCTATTGCATTGCACAATGCTTTCTCCTAACTGTTTCCTTCCTCCAAGCTAGAAATTGGACCTTCATTCACATGCCTAACAGCACAACACCTCACTTGTCACAGGCAACAATGAAATGTGGCAATTAGAAATGACAAGTTGCCCTGATAAAAGATCAGATTGCCATATCAGACACGACTGACCGCTGACAAGCTCACGATGGCATCAATTATTGGGAAACTGCGAATACAAGTGTGCATGTGGACGGTGAAGTTTCAAGGACGGCATGTCAACAAAAGGCAGGTTGTCAACGATTTACCGGTTTATAAACCCAAGATGCCGCACAGTGCAACAACGATGGGCTTGCAGACTGCAAGGGAAACTACACAAGACAGGGGCAGCACCAGCGGGAGGCATGGGTAGCCTGACCCCCCCCCCCCCCCCCCCCCCGAAATCATCGCCTGCTCCTCTTTTGCCTCCCCCCCCCCCCCCCCGAAGAACAAGCATAGTCTAAACACCGTGCATAAGTTCTGTGCCCCCCTAAAGGAACAACACAATTGTCATCGGTGCCCACCCAGGGAAGAAATCCTGGTGCCGCCCTTGCCGCAAGACTGACTGAATGTATGCCTGCCAGCAGCACTAAGACACTAAAGGGAACCGCTGCAGCGCGCGAACGAGAAGTCGCCTGCAATTCCAGCACGTGACTCCGTTGTTGCAGGTGTGGAAGCAACTCCCCAATGGTGAGCAAGTGTCCAAAAGCAATGAGCTCATCGTGGAAAGAGGGCTGTTATTGGTGGCCAATGAGGACAAGTGTGCACAGTAGCATGTTCTAACATGCGGTGTACTGGAGCTGCGCGGGGCCGGCACACATTCAGGCTGAGGAATGAGGCACACAAGCGAAGGGCTCTCTCGATTCCCATGATACTAATGCAGCCGAACTAAACGTACCAAATAAGTGGAGGTGCCCTCTTCATTTACTACGCTAGCAGGCTGTTATTAGAAACAATTACGGTACATCCAGAGTCAAAAAGACAGCAACACTGGCTGCTAAACATCTCTGAGAAAGAACATTATAACCACAGAAACTTGGCCCAAGGTTTCAGACAAAGGGTCATTGCAGTTATCCGAAAGCGCCGTTTATTCAGGTGCTACTTATACAGTACAATAACGACAATGCAAGGCCACAATGCAAGCCTGCGGAGGCACACCATGTGTCCTTCAGCAGATTCAACTGATGACTCTCGAACCAACCCTTGTAGTCCTTGTCAAACAATGTTCCTTTAAAAACAACTGTAGCGCAACAATACCAAAGCACTAACCTACCGTCAACACAGTATAAAAAATACTTTTGTTCTGCATGGGCTGTGTTGAATTGCAATTAATGTTAAAACATGCCTACAATGTAGCAACAGTGGGAGCCAACACATTTTACTTATTACAGACTGTTTTTGTATTTGTAACTGGGACTTCTTGCTGTGTATGTCTTGTCCCACATAAACACAATACCACATTTTATTGCACTTTAAATTGCAGGACAAATCTTAATGAGGTAGCACGTATTAAAAGAGAATCCTTATCACAGATCTTTGCTGCTTTTTATGCTTTCCTCAGCATTATTTTGTGTAAAAAATTGGAGCAGACTAGCAGATTGTTTTTAAGTTGGGCTTGTAAAAAATGTCAGCTGCATAAAAAAATTCACCAACTTGTGTGTGTCATCCCGAGAAAGGTGACACAGATTTCTTCATGATAAGAAAAGCATTGCCATGTAAAAAATATGCAGGCATACTATCTACCCACATTTTTACCTATCACAGATCTTAAGACACGATGTCTCTTGATTGCATGTGCCTATGCTCTCACCTACAAAACAAGCAACACAAGCAGTAAAACCAGCGCCTCTACTCTGGCAACTCAAGCATGTGAGGCAATACATAATGCTTGAAAAAGAATGTCGCCCTCTCAACCACCTCATCGAAGTATTCCTGCGAGAAAGTGACATTCAGTGTCATGTTTTCCGTGTCGCTTACGTACACAAAGACTTCGGTCGAGCCAAGCTCCGTAACCCCCATCTGAACTTGCGTTTGACAGAAATATCGGCCATTTTGCTTCAGCCGCATTTCGTCTCCTTGACAAACGACCTCATATTCCACAAATCTTTCCAGACTTCTCGGGCACTTGACCTCGAGCAGCCTTGGAGAGCAACACTCGCACGTGACGATGGCATCGGGACTCGCACCAATAAACGGCTTACCCAGAAGAATGGAAAGGCCGCAGTCGTGAAGCTGAAGGCCTTTGTGATGCGTGTTTTGGTTCTTGTATGCCTCTTTCGCCACTGGCTCCAGAGTGATGCCCCTCTGCATGTCCTCGTTCGTCACGCGAGATTCTCTCATGAGCAACCTGAGTAAAGCCCGCAAGTCGTGGGGGCCTGCCTTTGTCCGAATCGTGTTAACGCGTGTAAACACGCTGTAGGCGACTGACGCAGTGATCATACCGACGCGATGCTCCAACCAAAGTTCACAACAGCTCTGCTCTCTTGTAGCACGCTCAACGATTTTGACATCGTCAGGGTTGTGCTGCTTGCAGAGCTTTTTAAATATCTCCTCTACCGATGGCTTGTTCTTGGCTTGCTTTGCTGTGTGCGCGATGGCATGGATAGCAGCTTTCAGTGTCTTTGGTGCAGGTTCAGAATCTTCTTTTGATTGCTGCCTGCCTTGTGCACCTGTGGTATAATGCAATAATGTGCAATGATTTAACACAATAAATCCAGAAACTTTGGCAAAAAAAAAAACGCATTTGCCTGAACAGTCACGTTATTGCCGAAATATGGCTCAATATAGCTGTATCCGAACCTAGGTGCGGTTCCCACCCCCATAACCATACTAATCATCATAATTAATTTTTACATTCCAGGAAGAAGAAGAGCTCGCCATAAACTCTCCTAATTGTTCTAGTGTTGTGTCATCTAGCATAGCCATCCTAAGCCTAAAAGTTTCTACACCATCCAACAATATACCACTCTTTACTGTGTTTCTCTTTCACAGTGTAGCAGACCAGTAGACAAGAGTTAGCAACTTGCTCATGAAAAGAGTAAACAAGCTATGACAGCGCATAGAATCAAGCATGGTCACTCACTCCAGGTAACACTTGATGTGAACTGTAGCCTATAGATAGCCAAAGGTTGGACAAAAACTTGTCAGGCGAGGAAGATTTATTGAACAGAATAGACACTCGCCTTGTCCAAAGGAGGAAGGGGCCCATAGCAACCCTGCGCAAAACATCAATATATGTTGTTTATCCTTTGGACAAGTTGAGTGCCTGTTTTGTTTCTTCAACCAACTGGGGTCTGGACTGTCTGACCATTGCTCGGCATAGACTCCCACAATGTTTATTGTGAAACAATTATATGAATGGCTGCCACAAGTGCAGCTCAGTCAAACAACAGACATTTCAACTTTATCACCACATGTCACTTCACAGCGATTTCTTCGAGCCACCTGCCGTTATTTTTCCTCGCCGCGATCACCCCTACAAAGTTAAACGCTTAAACTGTAAGTCATCTGCTTTTTCCAAGTCATTCATTCCGCGTACCACAATCGATTGGAATAATCTACCATCACACATTGCCTTAGAAAAAAATGCCACGAAATTTCAAGAACTAATTCAAAATACCGACATCATCTAACTTTTGTTCTTTTACTTGTTTTTCCCTCTTTTCTATAACGTGCAGAGCACACGTGTAGTATTTCTACCTTGATTCAGCTTATTTGAGGTGTGATGAGTGAGTGTATATTTTTTATTCGTTTTTGAGTGTACGCTTTATTTGTTTTCTTCTTTTTTTTATCAAGTGTATTGATTATTTTTCCTTGCATTTTTATAGGTTGTTCACTGTGTACTTATCTGTATTCCAATGATTTGTTGCCTATTCTTTTCTCTATTTTTGCTGTCTTTACCAATTACTTGTTATAACATATATCTCAACCTTAGTCTGTATTTAATTTGAATTTTTTTACCTTTTTTTCCGTTTTTGACGTTTATTGTTTGTAATTTTGCTCATGTAACCCCCCCTGTGTAATACCCTCTCACGAGGGCCTTTAGGGGTATTATGAATAAATAAATAAATAAATAAATAAATAAATAAATAAATAAATAAATAAATTTAGCGACACTAGAGAGCTTATGGTCACCACACTGCATTGAGCGTTTTCACAACGTGAAAGTGATGCTTGGAAGAACTATTCTAAGCTGCCTGAAATATCTGTCATATCCTGCTCATTTGTATTAATATAGCCAGCTAGCAATTAAGAAAAGTATAGTCTAAGAAAGGTATCCTTTATTAGACTTAAACTTTCTTAGAAAACTTTAGTTGCCTTTTAAGGGGCCCTCCAACACTCGCCAACCCCCCATGTTTTATTCGTGGGTTGTGTAGACTGAAGTACAAACAGACTAATGCAGCAAAAATGGCAGTGATAACGGCACGCAATCTGAAGTTGTTCGACTTAGAAAATCCAAAATACAAGAAAAAAATGCTGACCCTTAACTCGATTTTCGCGGGGTCACTTGACCACATTTCACTCGCCCATGAAGTCTAAAAGGCTGCCCCAATGAAATAAGCTGGAAGTGCCTACGTAGGGGAAGCTCTCACACCATTATTGCTTGTTTTTTGTTTTGTTTTGTTTTGTTTTTTCAAAGTAATGTTGACCTTGTTTCCACAGTAACAAACGTGGTGTTTGACGCCTGGCTCGCCAGAGCATGAGTGGGAGCTACTGTGTCGAAGCGAGGTATTTTCTTCTGTTCTTTATAACATTCCGTGTCAATCCCTCCTCTTATTCTGAGAAAAAAACTTGTGGAACGACCAGGACAGTGAGGTGTTGTTGACCTTTCGCGTGTTGTTGTGTGAGCCGCCGGACAAACAATGGTGCACTGCGCCCCTTCAACAGCGCACGTGCAAAAAGAGACAGCTCGCAAACTCTCAAAAGCAAGAAAAGGTAAGAATGATGATTGATTTGTGGGGCTTAACGTCCCAAAACCACGATATGATTATGAGAGAGGCGGTAGTGGAAGGCTCCGGAGATTTAGACCACCTAGGGTTCTTTAACATGCACCCAAATCTGTGCACACAGGCCACACAAATTTCTGCCTCCATCAGTTTTAATCCTACACCATGATCGCTTTTAGCGTTACCAGGTAGCTGCCATATCCAATGATATGGCGGCAACCTACCGGCGTCATTTTCACCCGCGCAGTTCTGGCGAGCGCCACTGCGTAGTAATGCGGTCGGCAGCGATGTAGTGGCTTTATTGCGTGATTGAAATACTAAACCATTTGATATCGGCGCTTAGACCTACGCTAAATTGCCTCCAGCTATCGGTCCAAGCAAACCAGATAAAAAATAGGTGCTTGAATATTGTTAGAGGGCCCCTTTAAAGGCCTTGTCAAAGTCTTCTCAAAGCCTTCTCAACATGCAGGCATGCTAGTAGAACATGAGAAATCTGAAGAACTGTTTGAACAGGACACACAGCAGAGATATACTATATATTCACTGATTTCAAATTTGAGTTGACCCAAAAAAATGAATCACAGCTGGGTTGCTGTATATGTGTTTGATCAAGACAATGGTTAACCCAAACCCTTCATTTTTGAGAAATTGAGTGATACATAGCTTTTATGATAAACATTCATAAATAGAATTTCTAAACAAGAATATTGCCAAGCACAGCACAGGAAGGCTTTGAATTGCATCGGTGAAGATTCAAAACCACCTCTCTATTGTGTCTACTGCTCACGTTTCGCCAGTGCTGGCACAACTAAGGAGCTAGGTAATTCATCTGAAGTTCAACAAGACAGAAAATGAAGTGCAGCCATTTTTCTTCCTCCATACTCCAATGAAAAAACTGGCCTCCTGTGTGCACCCCAATCCACTTAAGCCCCGCCTGATAGCACATGGTTCTGCAACTGCTGGCACGCTACGTTCTAACACCAGTGACACGTATTCAGTCATCTATCCAGGCGAGTCTTCAATTCCAATAGTCTCGCAAGACGAGAGACCGGTCGACTAGCGTAGCGAGCTTTTTGTAATCAACGTCAGTCACTCAAGTCAGACATTTCAATTGCCATTAGTGCTACTTACATTCAGAGGCATGTTTTGTGGGCACTGGAGAGGTGGACTTGTGCAAACTATTTTCGAGGGGCCTCCTTGAGATATCCGCTACGGCTGGTGCATCGTCAATCGTAAGCTGCATAAAAAGGTTTATGCTTATAAGTGCCTTAAGACTAATTCACGTAGATTTTAATTAAAGCCCTTTCACCCAATAGGTGCCCACTAATATTGTAAACTTGCACACAGTGTAGAAGACAAAGAAGAGTGATTTTTTTTACATGAATAACATACACACATATCCCCCTCAGCGGCAATATGTACAATCGCACATATCAATTGCAGAGGCTTGTCTTGCACTGCATGTTACATCAACTTGCTCGAAATGCGACTTGCACATTTGTGCACACTTCCTGAGTGGACAATTGGGACAATTAGCGCTAATTTAACTTCACTCTGCTGCATATGCTACGTATAATGTGCTGAGGACACTACCATACATGATTAATGAGCCATTCGATGTGCCCTGTTCCGTAAGCCACATCAAAGTTATAATTTCTGCTCCCTCACAATGAACATAACCGAAAACTGACTGTCCATGTATTTCGAGCCCGGGAGTTGATCATACAGGAGTAGAGCATGACTGACTTTAGAATAAATAAGTGTTTGATTTCACACTAATTACTGTTAGTCGCTGAAGAGACACGAATCAACATATTACCACCTCATCTCTTTCGTGATAGGATATTGAGAACCTTGTAAACAAAGTTGTGAAGGTTAACACATTTACACATAGTCTATCACGATTTGCACCTGAAGGGGATTTACGACTCTATACGAGAAATAACGAAAGCCACTCGTTAAAATACTACAACATGACTGTGCACCGAAACTACAAAAAAAACAAATGAAATGCAACCATCAAAAAGACGGACAAAAGCGCATGTGCCATCACAAGAATGCCAACTGTTTACAAGTTAATGCAACTGATGGCTTGCTTTTGGAGATGCTTTCAGCAATATGGTTTTGTAGCACCGCAAAATGGTGCTTCTGAGCGCGAGTGCCAAGAGCGCAAGCACGAAGAATCACGTGACTTTGCTTCGTGCACTTCAAAGGAAATAAAAGTTGAGTTGTTGTTTGGGACGCGTGTGGTTCATTTCGCTTGCGCGACCTGCTCGCCCAGCTTAGCCTAGCAGTATGTTCCAACATTGGTGACACAGAATTGTGGTGCAGCCACCGGGGTTGGGCATCAACGTCCTTATGACTTCGACGTCGACAACAGACTCCGCGACTATGACTTAACATCTACAACGGACGCTATGCCTACAGTCTCTTCAGTCGGCGGTAAGCTGCCACCCTTTTGGACCGCGGACCCCGCACTCTAGTTTATTCAAGTAGAAGTCCAGTTCGTAGCGCGACGCATCACATCAGACTTGACCAAATACCACTACGTCGTAAGCAGCCTCCCGCCACCCATAGCCAGTGAAATACGGGATCTCATACTCGACTCACCTGTCGAAAAAGCATCCGCCGTGTCACGCCCCTCGAATCGCAGTGCCTACATCAACTGTTTCACGACAGGAACCTTGGCGACCGTACTCCTAGTCAGCTGTTGTGGCACATGCAACTATAACACGGCGGAACAACAAACAGGGTAGACGGAGCATTGTTTCGAGAGCTCTTTTTGCAAAAGCTGCCGTCAAGTGTTCGTGTGGTTGTCGAGGCGTCAGGGCAGAAAGACATACCTGCGGTCGCCGTGCTCGCTGATCGGCTCGTGGTGATCAACACGGCCACATTACTGGCTGCCGTGCAAGAACAACGGGCTCATGATGAATTTCAGCAAATGCGTGCAGATATTTCTCGACTCACCGAGACATTATCAGCTTTGCATACAAGCCGGACAGCACAAGATGCAAGTGAGCCAAACACGACGGTATCACAGCCGCAGCGGAAAAATATATGCTGGTATCATCGACGGTTCAGAAATTCTGCGCGTAACTGTGTTCCACCCTGCGCGCACTCGGAAAACGACCGCGGCAAGCACTGAGGGCGACCCGTGCTACTACGTCGCCTTTAAGTCGTCCCTCGGTATTTTTTTTTGTTACTTACCGCAACAACGGGGCTCGTTTCTTAGTCGACACAGGCACCGAGGTGAGCGTGATATCCGCGCCACAAACCGAAAGGAAGAACCCTACTACATCACCACTCCAAGCTGTCAATAACATGGTGATACGAACATACGGACATTGTTCCCTCACACTGGACTTCGGTTTCAACAGAACGTTCATATGGGTGTTCATAGCCGCCGATGTCAAATTCGCGATATTGGGTGCTGACTTTCCGCAATACTTTGGTCTGATGGTTGATGTTCGAAACAAACGGCTTCAGGATCCTGTATGTCGTGTAGCGGTTCAAGGCAAGCCGTGTTTGCATCCTCCGCTCAGCCCGACCTTACTCCGTCCATTAGGAGAATCGCGCTTCACCGCTATAGTACAACAGTTCCCAGAGCTGACGCAACAGAAACAGGCATTCGCCGAAGTAAAACATGATGTTCAGCATAACATAAAAACCACAGGACCACCGGTCTACGTGCGCCCATGGTGGCTTTCGCCCGAGAAGCTACGGCTAGCCCAGCAGGTTTTCTCGCATATGATGAAACTCGGCATAGCACGCCCTTCATCCAGCTCGTATGCCTCGCCTATTCACATGATCCCCAAATCAGCAGGTGGTGATTGGCGTCCTTGTGGGGATTATAGGGCACTAAACCGTGTGACAGTGCCGGACCGTTACCCAGTGCTGCACGTCCACGACCTGACCTCCTGCCTGCATGGCACGAACATCTTCTCAAAAAATAGATCTGGTGAGAGCATACCATCAGATTCCCGTAGTACCAGAGGATGTTCCCAAGACCGCGATAACAACGTCATTCGGAATGTTTGAATTTCTACGGATGCCTTTCGGCTTACGGAATGCTGGCCAAACTTTCCAACGATTCATGGATGGCGTTGTCCGGGGCCTCGACTTCTGCAAGGTTTACCTGGATGACCTGCTCACCGCTAGCTGCACGCCCGAAGAGCACGAGAGCCATCTACACAGCGTGCTACAGCGACTGGCAACACAACATGACATCGTTACCAACACGGCCAAGTGTGTGTTCGGGGTACCATCGCTGCCATTTTTGGGCCACAGCCTTTCAAGCGCGGGAGTGCAACCACACCAGGGCAAGGTTGAAGCAGTACGGCGGTTTCCACAGCCAAAAACCATCCGCCAGCTCCGAGAGTTCCTAGGACTTGTAAACTTCTACAGGAGGTTCGTTCCGAAGTGTGCCCACATCCTTCACCCGCTGCACAGCCTACTAGCAGCTCCAGTAACTAAGGCGAGTGACATTCAGTGAAACGATCAAGCGGTAGAGGCATTTCGTCATATTACGGAGTCTCTCGCGAATGCCCCCCTGCTCGCATACCCACAACCTGGTGTACCGCAATGCGTAATGGTGGACGCCTCAGACGCAGCTATTGGAGCTGTACTGCAGTAAAAGTCTAGCGGAAGGTGGAACCCAATTTCCTTCTTCTCCAGAAAATTGAGCCCGGCTAAACACCGATACAGCACCTTTGATAGGGAGCTCCTGGCCACATACGCGGCTATACGACACTTCCGCCACTATGCAGAAGGTCGAGAATTTTTCGTGCTCACAGATCACAAGCCACCGACTTACGCATTGTGCGCAGTCAACTCAGATGCGGGTGCACACATGGCACGATAGCTCCGCCAAATATCTTACATCGCAAAATTCACGATGGATACCGTATTTTTGCGCGTATAACCCGCCCCTGCATATAATCCGCACCCCCACTTTCAGCTCACCGAGAAAAAAAAAATCCTCGCGTATTGCCCGCACATTTGATATACAAGAAAGGCTGTACAAAAGCTACTGCTCAAGTAACATAGCACATATGTAGACAGAAAAAGCTTTATTTAGCAAGCAGAATACGCTGTCTGCAAGGCCCGTCACAATTCACTCAGTGTCGCTGCTCTCGCTAGAGCTATCACTTGAGCCGCAGTCCTCACTATTATGCACAAGGTCATCTTCGGTTCCTTCCATGTTGTTTGTGATGCAGCATTTTTTGAAACTTTTTCGCACCATCTCACCTGGAATGGCCTTCCATGTCTCGACAATCCACTTGCAGAATAGGGCAATATCAGGCCTTCGAACTCGTCAAGTCGTAGCAGCCTTCGGCCATCCACTCGGCGTAATAGCGCTTGACATGCACTTTGAAGGGCTTGTTAAGCGCCACATCTAGAGGCCGCAACATTGACGTCATTCCACCGGGTATAACAACTAAGTCGGTGCCGTTGCGTGAAAGGCGGTCCTTCACTTCCTCAGTAGTGTGGCCGCGGAACGAGTCAAGAACGAGCATGGACCTCTTTGCGAGCATCGCACCGGGCGTCTTCTCCCATACCGTCTTGATCCAGTCTATGAACAAGTCACTGTTCATCCACGCGTTCTCGTGTGCGCGCACCACCTTACCGGCAGGCAAATGAACCTTTGGTAGAGTTTTCCTTTTCAAGATGACGTACGGTCGCAGTTGCGTGCCGTCGGCGAGGGCACAAAGCAAGACTGTGATGCGCAGTTTCGTGTTCCCGCCGGTCAGCACGCTCACCGAACTGCTGCCCGTCTTCTCAATCGTTGTGTCCAACGGCATTTCAAAATAAACAGGAGTTTCATCCGCATTGCCGATTTGCGAGAAAATGTAATTCTGCTGCTTTCCCAGGCCAATTACATATCTCTGGTACTCGGGCAGCTTCTCCTCATAAGAAGCCGTCAAGCGTTGACATATTGTAGTCCGCCGTCTTATTGAGAGCCCTTGCCGCTTCATAAAGCGGTCAGCCATCCGCGGCTCGCACGGAACTCGTGAGGTAGGCCTAGCTTTCTCGAAAGTCGCCGTGCTTCCACTTGGGCCATCTCGGTCGATACGGCGTGACCCCTGCTTCTAACATCTTCGATGAACTTTACTAGCTCCGCCTCCAGCTCAGGGTAGGCACCGGTCTTGGGGCCTGAAATGACCTACGGTCGCGGTGCGCGGCTTGTAGGCTCTCTTTCTTCTTTCTCCACAGTCGCACGCGGGACTCGTCCACATC